ATTCATGGCACTCTTATAGCCTTTTAGTGCGGCTTTTAAGAAACACTTTCATAATCAAATGGTGTTTACAGTGAAGATGAAAGCTCCAAATAAATAAGTTCATGTCACTGACAATGCCACCTCAAGGCCTGCGTATACACTTGTTGTGCAGACAGGCAAATGCAAATGTAACATTTAAAATAAATGGAAACTCGAGGGCTTTTTATTCAGTTGTTCTGGGGAGCTCAAGTAAACAGTCTGATGATTGTTAAAGAGTAAACAATGCAACGAAGTTTCTTTAAAAAGGCAGTAGCTTGTGAAAGAACTGTCATAATAAAAGATATAAAACTGCTCAAGGCCTAAAGCTTTATTTGCTCTGGAGCTTTTCACAGGAACACCCGATCTTTAGATTGAGGAATAAGCAATGGAGGAAAAATCTCCAGAAAACTTTAGTGAGTAGACCAAAGGTAAAGAATTTCAGTAATTTGCAATACAACAGCTATAACTCCCTTTAAGATTTGGTTTGATAATTGTGTTTCATAGGCCAACCCTGATTGGCTCGTTTCCCGCTCTGCAGTCCTCTTTAAAGCTATACACTCATCAAATTCTATAATTTTAGTCCACCTAACAGCCCTTTGGGGCACCCTTTACCCACTGACGATTGTTATGACATGTGGTTTAAAGCTCCAGAAAAATCCCATGTAGCAGCAGCACCTGTCAACTGCTGTTTGAGTGAAATATCAAGCAGATCTATTAAACAAACAAATGAGAAGTTCTCAATGTGTTCAATACATCTGCTGGTGGATTAGCCCGAAAGCTGCAGAAAATGTGTAAAATTAGACCCCAAGTTGTGGTTGTTTTGTCAGCTCCTCTTTCCAAAATTAAGATAAACTACAATCATTAGCCTGGACTGTTGAATGAACAAAATAGCACTGGTTTCTGAAAGGAAGGTGGTATGGAAGATGTCAGAGTATGGCTTAAACCAATCAATCCAATGACTGGAAGAGGATTTTTATGGTGTTTACGGCACATTTTCACTCTATCTGCCGAGACATGAATATTTAAAATGTTAAATGTCTGTTTTGCAATTTGCTTGATAACTGGTGAGCTTGCCCAGCCTGTGGCCGTGTATCAAAATCAAATATCAGTCTGGACCCGGGGGCAGCATTATTAGATTAACTCTGCTAATAGGCTGTAGCCCACGTTTAGAAGACAGGATATTCACTTAGGCATTTACTGCCCTTACTCCCCTCTTCCCTTAAGCTCCAGCAGGGATGTATCGTCCCTCATCAGCCATCAGTGTCACGAGCCCAAAAGGCCTGCAGAGTGTCAGGTTTCAGAGCCAGTAGGACAATGTCCATTTGTCCCTGCAGGTCCACATCAGTCCATTCACCTCCAGGAAAACATGCAGACAGTTAGACTGATGCATTGCTTCAGGGGAAATATTTATTATTAATGGCCTATGATTCAGTCACTGTCATCCCCCTCTGTTACGATGAAGGAGCTGCAGTTTGTTTTTCTGTGTACGGGTGGAAGGACTCACCAGTTTAATCTTAGTTTCATCTATAACAGGAGCTTCACTTAAACAATAATAAAATGTAATGTAATATTATACTGGACTTCATTCATGATCTACATGCTGCCTCCACCCTTACAAAAATAATGCTCAGCATGTTTATCTTTTATCTGCTTTTATTTCTCAGTTTATTGTGTTTTAATGCATTTCTACAACCCATTTAAAGCACTGCTAATTTATTTGAGTGTTTGAAAGGCACTTTATACACAAACGTGCCATAAAACAGGATGTAAATAGTTTTGGAGCATCTAGCATCTCCTTCAAGAAAGCTGCTCTGAAATGAAGACTTTGATTTCTTAGTGTGTTTGTAAAGGAGGCAGCTGCACACAAAAACTGATTAATAGAAATGTTATTTGGATGGATTAAAGATTATTGACATGTGGCAGAAAGGTGTACTTAGCTGCTAACAATCCAAAATGCTAAACACTTTGAGTCCTCATGGAGGGATCTACCATCTTCTCTGCACTTTGAACAGTTTTCATTTAACCTTCCTGTTACAAAAATACAATAACAGAACTTTAGCCTCTGAACCTGGAACTTTTTATCATCCATTTTTCGTACTTTGGACCCTGCTCAGGATCTTGCATGAAGATCTGTTGATCTTTATTTTTGTAAACAAATAAAAGTTTGCTATTCTGTTGACTGTTTACTAAAATTCAGCCTTTCTGTCTGTATGTTTGGTTGATTTTTATTTATTTGTTATTGATAAAAATCATGGGTTGTGGGCTTGCACTATTTTGGCTTCTGAAATGAGGCATGTCTGAAAATAAACCAACCAGTGGAAATCTACGACATAGTACTAGCAATGTTTAGTCAATGTTCTTGTCTAGATGCACAAATTTGATTTACTTGAATAACTAAAGGTGTCCCAGAGGCTTCCATTTGAGGACATATTTTGTTTTATAATTTTAGAAGTTATCTTAATACTACAATAAAAATTATATTTCAGCAAGAATACATCTCTTTGCTGATGAGACTGTCATTTAAATTACACTCCCTCTGTTGTAAAGCAGTTCAGGGCCTTCGTGCTGTAATTTACTCATTACAAACTGTCTGTGTACATTCAAAACTGACTGTAAATGCTGACAAATCAAAGTTTATAGTTTTCTAAAATAAATAATTAAATTAAATTAAATTAAATTAAATTAAATTAAATTAATAAATAAAAAAAACCTTGCCCACAAGGGTTTGATGATTTTAGCATTTTTTTTTACATGTGATGTAAATCAATTTAAAAATACACAAATACAAGTATTAGGGTATATGGATAAATGACAAGCTTTTCTTTAATGTACAAGTTAGCACTCTTATTAGAAAATACAATTTATAGATTTTGTTTTAATTGTTGAAAAAACTAATGTGGAAGTTATTTTGAGGATTGATGGTGATATTTGGTGATATAATGTATGTTCAAGCCACCTCCTCACTTTTATTGAGCATTGATTCAGCATATTGCTCATCTCATATTGCATTCTTTAATCCTGGACATCAGTGACCACAGAGGAAACAGCAACGGTGTGTGTCTGTGTGTGCGTGTGTGTGTGTGTCTAAACAGTTGTTTCTGATGTGCTGATGTTTTTGACAGATTTGGAGATTTCAAAACAGGATCTCACCAAACACCTTGGAAATGAAATACTTGGAGAAAGAACCAAACTTAAACATGCTTACATCTGTCTCTGGATTTAAAGGTGCCATGTAGTGAATGTCTGCATATTATGCATTTCATGTTGTACTTATTGCATTTTTAATACAATATGTTTATATTTTGTATGCCTGTCCTTTTTTCCTTGTGAACATTTTATCTCAGTGGGATTTCCTTATTAGATAAATAAATAAATAAATAAATAAATAAAATTAACCCACACATTATCAACATCGTGTTGCCAGTACAACAGAGACACATTTTCCTCTAACTAAAGTGTGTGTGTATATAAGTACACACACTTTACAGTTATGTTTTTAAGCCTGTAATTCCAGTCAGTGGGATGAATAGTAAGGCTGGGATCCTTCATCCATAAAAGGATGAATTAGTCAGTCTCAGTATGTAAAAACTTTAGTTTATTACTTGGTAAAAAGATAAATATTGGCAGCTTCTGACTTCATGTTATTACACAAACAACATTATGTAGGAACAGCTATGTGCAGGCACTATAGACATGGGGGAAGTGGCATGTGGTTGGGTCAGTGTGATTTCAGGCTTTTTTTGTTTTTTTAAACAGAACTGCAACAAGGCACTGGGTTGTGTTTAGAAACAGCTTCAACTGCTTCAGCAGTACCAGTCTCATGACCTCAAGACTCCTTTCTAAGGCTACCTGTGCCTGAATTTTGTCACCTGCACTAAAAGTATAACAGTAGATATTGATGCTCACTGAATAGTATTGCAGTATAAATGTGCTCTGAAAGCTACTGGAGTCGAGTTATACATCTATTACACCCTCAAAGGGCAAATATTATATAAGAGTTTGTGTTGGTGGGTACAAAATTTGTAAATGATAAATAAATGCCATGGTGGCTTTATCGGTTTTACATATATGATGTATTCAAAATGTTAAAAGAAAAATGCTTTCTCCAAGTATATGTATGAGGAGCTGGCAGTGAAAATGGTTATGTTGCAACAGGTGTCTCACTGCAGTGGCCCCAGAGGACATCCAGTGCACACATTTAATAAAGAGCAGTGTTTGATGCCCTGATCAGGAATTAATCCTTTACTACTAAACACAGTAAGATCTGACAATTATTAACAAATACATTATAATATATAAAATCTTATACGTCACAATGCAGCTGTACTTTATGAGTTATGATACATTAATTAGTTAATCAATTAGAATGTAATAACTTAATGGAAATTAAATGGAAATTGACATTAATTAACTATGGGTTTTAATTAATTTTGATATGATTTTTTTTGTAAGTCAGTTGATGAATGGTAAAATATGACTGGCTCTTGAGGACTTCTAAAGGAGTACTTGTGCTCAGCTTTGGAATTGCTGCCCTTGGTGATTTCAGCACCACGGACAGCAGCAGGTCCGGCGTTACTGAACGAAACCTTTCCCTGTAACATCTCAGAGAATTAAAAAGCTCACACACTTTAAGCTTTCGGATTCTCTCTCTCTCTGTGTGTGTGTGTGTGTGTGTGTGTGTGTGTGTGTGTGTGTGTGTGTGTGTGTGTTTCTTTCTTTCTGATTACGCTACTGAAATCCGTCCAACCAGGCCAGCCAGCAGGATATGAACTCAGCAGGTTTACCTAATTTTAATTAGAAGAGTTGCTACATTCAGCCAATCAGGGTCAAGCATTGCGAGGACCGAGCCCTCACCTTCAGTTTAATTCAACTTCGACCACTCACAAAACCGGGCTGTTAATCTGCCAACACTACAAACACATTTGGTAACACAATCTTGGACACACATTGGTTGGCATCAGTAAGCTAAAAACCACATGTACCTGCTCTGCGCCTTGGAAGCAGATCCTGCAGCTGGGAGTGGGGATGCAGGTTTCGCTGCTGCAGTTTGAATGCATTGTCTGAGCCTTGCAAGAGCTCCCCCCGACAGCCCCGTCCTCACTGGAAAAATTCCCCTCGTTGTTCTCCACAGTGAATTTCTCTGTGTCACCCCCACACGCGTCCCTGCAGCTCCGGCCCTCCCGGCAGCCCTCTGCCCCCTCTCCCTCCTCTCCTCCCAGGGCTTCGTCCTCATCGTCGGGGTGCGGACGTCCTTGGAAGCCGTGAGGTTCGCTTTCCTCCCAGGTGTGGCGGTGAGGTATGGTGGTACCTCCACTCGCCTCTCCACACGCGGGACCCGCCTCTCCCTCCTCTGTGCTCATAATAAAATGAAAAGTCGAAAATAAATTGCATAGATGCCGCCCGACACGCTCACACAGTATCCACCACCACTGCGACGCAGGGACGCGATGCAGCCTTCAGGCTCCTTGATTACGGCGCTCTCGGCGAAAATAACTCCGCTCCGTGGCTTCCGAACCGAGCCGTGCACCTCCTGTAACGGAACCTACAGCGTGACAGCCTGGCAGAGCTGCAGTTGAGCCGCAGGAAGCCCACGATGCTGCTGCGGACCGTCGCTCGGCTGGAACCGCCTCATGCGCTCCGGAGACCCGGGGAGCATTTCCAAGCAGCCTCCATGCATCGCAACGAGACTCAGCCGTCCTGAAGCACCCAAATCCCCCTCTACCCTTCCTCCTCCTCCTCCGCCTCTTTAGTCCCCACCGATAAAGCCGATGGCAACAGAGTAGCGGCACGCAAACAATCTTCCGAGCGGTCCAACCCGGGCTGGAAGCCGCCTGATGGGCTCGAGCATTCACCCTGCTGAGGGGCTCTTGGGCACGAATCCACTTCAAGTCAGCTGTAAGTTCTCTGATGAGTCGTGCACTCTCAGGAAGCAGAAAAGACCATTTCCCCCGGGGGATGACCAATCAATCACATTATTATCCCATTAATATGATGGAGGACATAAGTTTCCAGACCCAGGCAGGCACTACTTCAGCACAGCCAGCAGTAAGAAAGAAATGAGAAGCATCATACTCACAGCAGCAGCAACTTGGCCAGTCCGCCCGCCTGCCACAAAGAATATTTTATGTGCTGAGACGTGGCGACCCACAGCACCCTCCCTGTGTTAAAGGGGTCACCTGCTGGGTTACAAATGCCATCATTATCAGTGGTGGTGGTTAAAATCTTTCTGAAACTTAAAGAGGAACTTCAGCCTGTAAATGATAGACTTATTAAATGTTGTAGAGGGCTGAGCCTGTGGTTCTCTAAAGGTGGTTCATGGTGAATTCCAGTGTCCTCTGCTTGGAACGTGTGGTTAATAATCTTACCGATCCAAAATAAATCTAAAAGAAGCATTTAAAGGGAACTTATGAGTTAATGCTTTAATGAGGTAAAGTTAATTAATGCTCAACGTTTTTTTTCTTATTGGCTGCTTGTCCCAAACAGAAAACTTTGCACATGAAGAGCTGCATGCAGAGCCAAGAGCACAAAAAACTATCTGAAACAGAGCTACAGTTTCCTAGGAGGCTGAAGCCTGATCTCAAAGTGGCTGATAATGAATTTAGGGGTGCAACAACAGGAAGCCATTAATAGTCTAAAGAAGGTGTGGTTGTAAGTGTTATTTATGCACAAGTCATTTTCATTTTTTGCTTTGAGTGAAATGTCTTTGGATGGTGTTCTTTAATCTTTCTCACTTCTTGATCTTGGGTTCTGGTGATGATAGAGTCACAAACAGTGTTTGTTTTAAAGGTCCTGATTGCATTTAAGGAGCATTTGACAGGGTAAGGTCATTTCATTAGTTATTCCATGAGTATCCATTATAGGAAAGTGTCTTTTGATGGTTGTTTTGGGGCCCCGTGGAGAAGTGTTCTAACAGCCAGCTAATGGTCTTAAAGTTAAACTTCAGTATGTTAACAAGAAGTTAAATGTGACTTATTATACTCGTTTCCAGCTGTTTATTTCTAGTCTTAGGACTCTGGCATTGTAGCTTTGTGTAATTTATAGTTAATCTATTACCTGAAACAAGCCATTTAAACTTTATTTTACCTTTAATTTTATAGATCCACTAAAGCTGGGTTCTGTGAGTTTGTGGGAGACAAATGTTAATTATATGCAGTTATGTGAAAAACTTGTACTAGTATCACAGGCTTCTTTAACACGTTCTTGCACTCTGGTGATCACAGTGATGACAGTAAAAGTATTTGTTTTATGGATCTTTACGTAGACCCTGGATGCCATTTATATACAGGTGAGGGGTAAGATAGCCTCCTTAGAAATGAATAGAAAAGGATACCAATGGGGTATCTGATGTTACAGGAGCAATAAATCTAATGTCTGCTTCAGATCCCTGTAATGCCTAACGGTTTACCCCATTTCCTTCAACACACTGAGAAATTTTGCAGTTTTAATAAAGCTTTAAGCTTAAAACAAATGTAAATAACGAGCGGGTGGTGGAATTATCTTTAATTACATGCTAAAAATAAACAGCAAAGAAATATCCTCAAATCAAATTTGAGCAAATCACAAATAATGTCATGAAGTTAAGCTGAAGTATTTTACTAGAATTTAACCAGTTCAGGTTAGCTGAGACTGGTGGGTTAAATGAGTTGGTTTCTAGATATGGTTTTGGAGATGACTTGATATTTGTTCTGTGCACGATACAACTCTTTATAAATTGTAAAGGGCAGTTATTGATTTAAATCGAACACGGGGTCTTAGTCTACAATCTGCATTATTGCTTACAAGTATATCTGCCCTCCGAGGGGGAGTTTAAACATTTTGGCTCAGTTTCCACAGCACAGATGAAGCCTGGGCTGAGACACAAGCTTTTTCAATACGTTTCTGTGTAACAGTTTTAATCCACTACTGCAAAAATAACAAGCTTTAAATAAACCTTTAAATACATACATGCATCATTATTTAAAACAGACATTTTCAAATGTGAACCTCATTTTAATATCTAACCAGCTGGACGAAATTTAAAGAAGTCATCAAAACCATTTCTTCAAAAAAAGGAAAGACTTTCCATATGGGAGAAGCTCGTTGGAATTTCATGCATGACAATCCAGAGTAGTTGTCAGCGTAAGCTCTTTTTCTGTGTTTCATGCCCCTGTGGGAGTGTATTTGTGTTCATATTCAGCATATCAATGTTTCTCATTCAGCAGCTACCCACCCCCCTCTTTTTTTTCAGTAAATATAGAGCCTTGTTGCTTCACAATTTCCACTCAAACGTGAAGAAAAAGGATCCCAGTGAGTAAGAAGAAACAGGAGAATGAAACAAAGGATGTCACGGTGGCAATGAGTAATGATTCACCCAGCAAAACAAACGCTCCCGAGGAGCTCTGAGAGAGACTCTCAAGCTGAGAATAGTCCTGCTCGGCCTCCGTGGGAGGAAGTCTGTAAAGGTTAAAACTCAGCTGGGATTCTTTCTCTGAATGAATATAATTCTGTGTCTGTATATATCAGCTTTATTTCATCTTTGTTTTTCTTATTTAACATACGCAACACCCCCAGGCTTGAGAAAAGGACAGAAAACGTCTCAGTTAATGCCAGATCCTCCTTTGCTGTTACCCAGTATCTATTATCATCCTCCAAATGGACCTGATAATAAAGTTCAAGGAGCCTCAGCTGGCGAATCATTTGTCGGAGACTGCTTTTCCAAGAAGAATCTTCTCTCTCATTTTTTTTTTTTTGAGGATGTCTATCGCTTTCCGGGGAGCAGGCCAGTAATGGACTCTAATGCAGCAAAGGAAATTATCCACTCATGTCCAATCACTACCTACGAGGCACCGATCAATACCAGGTCCCCAGGGCTCAGAGGGAGACCGGGATCGTGCTGAGAGCAGGGAGGGCCGGGTGAACTGCTTCTCAACACATTGTGTTTAGGAGGGGTGGTGACTTAGGCCGTCTCTGAATCTACTTTTGAGTTTAACCTTCTGCCTGATGGGGCGGCGCCAATCTTCCTAATGAATTCAGACAGAGAAACTCAAATTTTCTTTCATATTTTTAGTTTTGTCTGTAAATATTTTATAATTTGTCTAAAAACAGCAGTTCTAATAATTCAGAAATTCATTAATTACTTAAGCTAAACGAGTTATACACCATATCAGACACAAGGCATGAAATCCTTTTTGTTGCCAGGTTGTAAAAAGTCACTTTTGCTGTCTTGAGGAGAAAGAAGAAAAATAATGTTATTAAAGTTATGATTCAGTCAGAAGAGCTGCAATAAATTCATAAATGAATAAAGAAAGTTTGACAGTTTTAAGTATTGCAAGGGATTTAACAGCTGACTCGTATAGCATCTAAAATAGACAGAAATCGAAACTCTTGCCTTGAGCTGACCTCTGATTGACAAAACTATTTTTAGAGCCATTCTGCAGCCTCAGTATAAGCTTTTAAATGGTTAATAAATGCACTTATGTTTTATTACTATGGTCACGATTTGTGGGAGAATAAAGGCTATGGAGACGATGCTAGGTGGAGCATCTCTAGCATAGCACTCCTGTTGTAGTTTTTCACTTTTTAACACATAATGAACTGTAGACAGTAAGTCCTATTTAATACAATATGGTTATTTTGCAAATTACGATCCATGGAATCAAAAAGGATCAATTCAATTCGTCTTAAAACCACAGTTGTGATAAGTCAGACTTTCATAAACTGCTTCAGTTATGCCAAACAAATTATAGACTGATGCATTTTACATCAGATATAAGAGATCAATATGAAATCCTTTTTTTTGTCAGGTTTTTCCATCTTGAGTGTTTTACAGTGTGTCCAAGACATTGTTACTAGGGGTGGGTTTTTAATAATCGATTCATCGCTTAAAATCGATTCTGGCTTGGATAACGTAAAATCGATTCATTAAAATCCTGAATCGATTCATTAAAATCCTGAATCGATTTTTTTAATATAAATTTATTTTGCCCGAAATGCCAGAATCTCTGGTGACATCTCACAAAATTTCAAGAACCACCAAACAGTTAAGACAGTAAATGAGAGCAGGTACACGGATTCTGCACATAGACTTAAACACACAGCGCGACCCGCGGATCAGAATCAGTGAGATGTCGCCTTTCTCACCGACTGCACGGACACGGTCGGGGCTGAAAGCCGACAGCTTGCTGATTCTGATGTGTCGGCGGGTCCGCGCTGTGTCTTCACGCCCTTTATGAGCCGATTCTAAAGCTGTTAGTTTGATGTCTCTCCAAACAATGTTGACTGAACCAGCAGCAAAAGAAGATCCAAACGCTTCACATAAACATCATCGTGAATTCTCTCTGACTTTTACGGTTTTGCTTCCACCACGATGCACAGCTCTCTCTCTCTCTCTCTGTACTTCAAGAACAGTTTCCTTTTCTTCATTATTCGCTTGCTTGTTACGCACAAGTCTACCGTTGTTTACAGGCTGTCGGCTGCTGTTTTTTTCCCTTTTACATTCTTCCGAAAAGAAAACCTCATTTCTGCTGTTCAATACTGAACAAATTTAAACTTTTTAAAATTATTCAAAACGCTTAACCGTGTCTCTAATAAAACCGCTGTAACTTCAGAGGTAATGTTCATATGTTGATTAATGGTTTTCTTTCGTTTTTGATGTACTGCAGAATATTTTTATAAAATCCAGGCCAGGAAAATCACCTTCATGTTTTTCTGTGTTTTATCTTCAGCTACTTTGACACAAAGGCCTCTGCTGTGACGCTCACACCTTTGATAAAGTCTTGCGTGTGTCAGCTTCCTTTTTATTGATACAAAAATATGTAAATGTACTGATCTGAATTATAATATTTCTGACTGTCAAAATTTCTCAGATTTAAATCGAATCGAATTAAATCGAATCGTGGATCGAATCGATTCGGGACCTTGTGAATCGGAATTGAATCGATTCTAGAAATCAGTGACGATACCCAGCCCTAATTGTTACCCAATGATGGCATCGGTTTCACTGTCAGGTCCAACTCTAAAAATTCCCAACCAGTAGAGGATGTAATGGTGGCTACATCCATCCTTTATGCAAGTCTATGAGTTTAGCTCCGAGTACGATTACATTTACCAGTGATCATTTCAGGTGAAGGTACAGTGAGAGGATTTTGTCACTCTGCTTTGCTGGGAGGGGAATCTTGCTAGCATGCTTTTCGCTCCACTTTTCTTATGCAAATCTATACAAAGATATTCGGAGTGATCATCTTTTATCCTGTGATGAAAGTGATGAAACATTTCTATTCTAATAGGAGGGGTCTCATCCAAAATGAAAATGGCTCCAGCAATGGGGTTTGAGTATCAACATAATGTGAACATATCTGAACACAGATGGGAGTGCCCGACAGCGCTCTCCAACTTAAACATACAGAATGAAAGAATATCATTTGGAAGAACTGCGTACACCATCGATTAGAGTTCCAGAGACTTGAGGAACCAATGGAGCTTTGAAGCTGTTATGGAGTTAGGTACTGGTCCAACACACTATTAGGACACCGTATGTTGGTTTTTTTTCCCCCCCATTGTCACCTTTTATATCAACTGAAACTCTGTTGGTACTGAAGGGAGAATCATTAGAAATATCCATTCATGAAATAATTATTGGATAAACAAAAATTCTGACCTGATCTCAAAGATAATTGCTACGTTCTACGACTCATCCCGAGAGTGAGAAAGATTAAGGAACACCATCCAATACCAAAGACATTTCACTCAAAACATAAGATGTTAGTCTCACTATGGTGCGAGGGGAAACGTCGGTGAATTGTGAAAGTGGATCAGATTCAACCTCTGTGGAAAAATAATATCTGCATGAGATTTAGTGCCAGTATGATCTTAGATATCTCAGTCTGGACTAAACTGGTGGACAGGTTGATGGACATTGCTGTCCTGAAGCCATGCTGCCAGCATGACTAAAAATAATTATTTCCATGAAAGTGAGGGGGAAGATAATCAAGCCCAGCTATGATCCAATCATTCAAATCTCTTTAATCACTCAATTTTTAAGCGGATGAAACAAAAAACACACCCCCTAATGAAAATAAGCTGCCAATTCGTTTGGGAGGAGGGGTCTTTACATGAATTTGGTTTATTTAATTCCATTTTAATTTCACAAAAACACCCTGAGGTAGATTTGTCACAAAAATGTTCAATGAGACCGTGTTCTATATCATCAGCTTCTAAAACAACCTGTATCAACCATCAGAAAGAAGTCTAGTTAGCATCACCTCCTCCAATGACTTCCACTGTGCTAACGCTTCTTAGCCATCTGCCCCATCCCTCTCCACGTCATCCTGATCAATTAGTCTCCTTCTCGCCGTCGGCCAGTCTGCATGGCCCCTCCTCCTCTGCTTTTCCTGTCGACTATGTCAAACAGTGGTGTGCTGTACGGGCAAAGAGCCCTAAACCCCTGAAACCATCGAGCCGCAAACACTCTCCCAGCCGACGAAAGGAAGTGGAGAGCCTGCCAAAGATAAAGTGGAGCACCACAAACAAATGGAGTAACTGAGCTCATTAATGTGGCAGTGCGGTGGGTCAGCATCCTGCCGAAGCCCAATCGGCTTTCGATTACATCATCTGCATGAGGCTCAGAGTCATTGATAAATCTGACGTATCTGAAAGCAGCAGAGTGATCATGGGAGGAAAATTGCAATGTCACAGTGAGGGAAAAAAAGTGTTTTCAAATTTCTCATAAATGAAAAAGAATAAATATAGTAACAAGCATCCAAGTGTCATTGATAAGAGTACATACTTGTGAAGTGAGGTGTTGCTTCTCTGACTGTGGTGAATTAAAAATGATAGAAAAACATAAATGGGAAGAAGAGAAATGTGGTAGTGAATATGTCATAACTGCCAACTTCAACCACTGGTGTGAACTGGACTTAATGATGGTTGTATATCCGTCAACCACAACATTGCAATCACCTGTACGATACCACGTAAGTCCTCGTCCTGCAGTTGAAGAAGCTCTGATCTTGAGACTAGTCTTGGGCCTAAGAGGCTGTCTTCAAAATATTTAGGTGAACAGAATTATTTTGAAGTTGCATAAGTGTCAATTTACATCAGCATTTGGCTGAAAGGCACTTTATATTCCAATGTAAATACCCGATTTCTGAGATTGAAAACCCCCAACAATCAGACCCCCGAACAACAATTAGGGACGTGAGAGAAACGGAACGCTATTAAGACGAAGAAACCTCCAGACAGACTGACGTTATCACGATATATCATTCTTTTGCCCAACTATAAATATTTTTTTGCTTCAAAATCCACTGTGGTAACTGTACAAAACGTATGCACCTGACTGTATGTCTCATATGAAGGGCCTGTTTCATCTAGTTGGAAGCAAAGCAATCGTCACATTGCTGAAATGATGAGGAGTTGATTGATTTAAGCACAAACAAAACAATGCTGATTTTAAAGATTCAGTTTTTTTCTATTTAAACACAAAATATAAAAAGTAAGGAAACACTGCATCAGGAAGACTGCGATGTATGCGGTAAATATCAAACATTTATTTAGTTGAATTGGTTCCGATCATGTTGAACGACAAAGATGAAATCCTATCAGTTAAATAAGTTTTGTCCAAAGTATTAAAACAGTTTCTTATCATTTGTGTAATGTAGCTTTTACAGGATTTATATAATTTCAAAAAGAACTCATAAGTGTGATTCGTGTCCTTGATCTGTTTTCAAACAGGCTGTTTTCAAAATGAAGTCGATAAGAGCTTCCAGGATCTCTGTCACAATTTCAAGGAGATTTACAGAGAACCTGCACTTTGTACAGCAGCATTTGAGAGATGACAGATGATTTTTTTTACCAAAGTAAATTAAAGGCTCTAAAAAAATTCAAGAAGCTTTATCAAAGATCAAAGATAAAGATTTACTACATCAAAGATTCCCTGCAATCGTCAAACCTCAAAACTGGCATTAGTGCATTACTTTAAACGCAACAAAGAATGACTGTAATCAGGTTTTCAGTACAGGCTGTACACAAAAGATGGGTGCACCCAATGGAGAAATGCTTGAAACCTGCATTTTTTCACTTTATCTATGACCTTTTCTGATGAGCATTCACTGGTTTCAACTCATATTTAACACAACATTTTAAATTTTGGGAATCTCGGTCGTATTTAGAGTAAAATAGTTGATGAAGAAGAACGTAATTTGAGGTCTTGGCTACCCTGTGATAAATAAGGATCCAGAGTATAACCCTGTAGTATCTTTTGGTTTCCTGGTCTAATCCACACATTACTTATGACATCTCGCTTAAAAGTGTGACTGACAATTTTCTGTGTTTGAGGCTTAAAAACAAGACTTCACAAAGCAGTGAGTGACACAATGGCCACATCCATCCTTTTCATACAGTCTGTGCGTTTGACGAGCCCGATTTCTGTTCCTACCACTGTTCAAGGACATCTGCCTGATTTCTTGGAGTTAGTGAAGATGTTAAACTTCAGAGCTTGCCAGTCCTTTTCTCATTTAGCTCCGTCCTGTTATTCAGTCCGAGTTTAGAACATAACTTGGGCTCTGAAGTGCTTCTGCTTGATGGTGTTGTGGCTTATGCCCATCTTCAGCATCCACTTGGACTTCATCATCTGTACATACTGCATGTCTTTCTGTTTCTGATTGAGGGCACTGTTACCTAAGAGACAGAAAGATGAGGGAGTTAGTAACATGTGAGCAGTGTGTCAGAATATCAAATCGCAGAGGTTTTCTCACAGTTAAAATTTGATAAACAATGAGCACAAGGTGTCACATCGACCACAGACAGCAGCAAATGACACAAATTTTAATTAAAACAGTAAAGCTAACATTTTGTCATAAGTGATTCTTGTGATACATTTTCATTATTATTTGCAAGTAAAATGTAACACGTTCGCCTTCTGGCCACAGT